AATTATCATTTGAAATAAAAAGAAAGTTAGATGATACATTAGAATTTGTACATCAAAAACGTATATTGCAAAAGATGAACCGATAGTAACTACTGACTGATAGATCCTGGGTTCGAATCTCGCTAGGTGAGATCGTGGATGCGCACTGTTGAGGAGTTCCACGATAGGACGAAACGACTGTCAAGTGCTTACAGGTTTTCCATGATGATCTAGCTTCAATTGACTTATCATTTCAACTATAAAAGAATAGATTGTTAAATAATTACATAATGAATACCTGATTAAGATAACCACTACTTCACTGTTTCTATGAACATTTTGTTCTTAAATGAGTAGTCTATTTGGTGAGTTTAGTTTTAAAGTATCTTGTGGATTATGAAAGTAATGAAATCAAAAAAGATTATCATGAATCTTCACAAATTGACTTGGTATTCATTCCTAGATTCAAAAAGCACTGTTATTTACTTACGCCTGTTAACCTTCATGGAAGAGCATAGATCACTCAACAACATCATCTAACCAACTCTGTTCTAGGCATCACTTTCCAGTTGCTATTCATTCTTCTGATGTCTACCTCAAATTTTCGATGTAGTATGTACCTTGGTCTTTCTCTTGTTCGTTTCTTTTCAGGATTTCAAATTGGAGCTTGCTTCTTGATACAATTTGATGATTTCCTCAATATATGTCCTATTCAATTAAAAAGTCTTTTCCTAATTTAGCCTTCAGTTGTAAACTGATTTGTTCTCTCACATAATAGGCTGTCTGTCCAAAGAACAGTGTATATCTTACGTAGACTAATGTTCATAAATACTTGTACTGTTTTGATGATGATTGTAGTAGTTCTCCAATTGTCAACTCCATATAGTAGAACTGCCTTGATGATCGTAATGAAGATCTTGACTGTGATATTGTTTGACAGATAATTATTTTGAGTTATATATATATATCCTTCAATTGTAGTCATAATATACTACTGATAGTTAGCATAAACCAACATCAAATAATATAAATTATAGATCAGAAGGGGTATTGTGGAGATTTTACTATTTTCATAGTTGAAAGCGTGAGTCAATTGAAGCTAGACCACCATAGAAAACCTGGAAGCACTGGACAGCCGTTTCGTCCTATTGTGGGACTCCTCAGTAGTGCGCATCCACGATCCCGACAGGCAAGATTTGAACTTAGGATCTACCAGTCTCGTGCCAGAGCACTTAACCGATAGACCACAGAGCCAGCCGGCATCCACCGATTTTAATGTCTAACTTCAACCAATCCACAATTCAATTTACTAATGATTTCAACTATATAAAATTACTAAAATTTACACAAAACCCCCCTTCTAATTGAATATTTAAATTTTGTTTTAAAAAAAATACAAAATGTATTCCATATATCAATCAGTTAGTCAATGAATTCATTGATATTCCATTAGTTTCTATGCATAAATTTATTGATATGATTGTTCATTGAAATTATTTATTAAAGTACATTTAAGTAACAAAAAAACTAATCAAAATTACAAAAAAGTACATTTGATAAGTTATCTGAAAGAAAATATACCAAGGGTTTTGGGTTCGAATCCCATGGGGATAGTGAACAGTAGCCCGAATTCGTGGATTAGTTGAAATAGATGCCAGTTCAGTGATCTAGATGTTGAGCAGTCACGCACGAAACTGTTAGGTCCGAGTCCGGCAGGGCCTGATCGTGAGTGCACACTGTTGAAGAGCCCTATACTAGGACTAAGAAATTAGTTGTATACACTTCACAGTTACATAAAAACAAGTAAGTTGAATATCTGATGCAGATCGGAAGGCGCAGATCAGTAAGGCAACAGCAGAAAATCTACAACCGAAGAACATCTGAAACTCAAAACAATAGTCAACCAACACCAAAATCAGAATTTTCAATACAAATATCAAGACAATTATTCTGTATGGGGCGGAGACGTGGAGAACTACGAAAGCTATAATCCAGGAGATACAGGTGTTTATTAATAGTTGTTTACGCCAAATACTTCGGATCAGTTGACCAAACTGTCAGCAACAAGTTACTGTGGGATAAAACAAACCAGATTCCAGTGCAGGAAAAAATTAGGAAGAAGCTCTGGAAGTGTATAGGACACACATTGAGGAAATCACCCACCTGCATCACAAGGAAAGTCCTCATATGGAATACTAAAGACCAAAGAAAAAGAGGAAGACCAAAGAACATATTGTGACGAGAAATAGAGAAAGACATGAGAAGAATGAACAAAAGTTGGATAGAACTAGAAAGGAAGGCCGAAGATAGAGTGGGTTGGAGAATGCTGTTCGGCAGCCTATCTGTTAATTTACCATCTTGATATTTCTTTATTGCCCTGTTTATTGTTTAGGAGTTTATATGTCAGACATTTACTTTTTAACCCTTGTGACAGATTAAATTCACCAATCCACATTTATGAATGATAAACAAAAGATTTAGGATAATAGAGGGATCGTGGATGCGCATAGCTGATGAGTCCCACAATAGAACGAAACGGTCATCCAGTGTTTCCAGGTTATCCATGGTCATCTAACTTCAATTGAATCATGTTTTCAACTATATAAAATTACTAAAATCTCCACAAAACCCCCTTCTAATAATAGATGGATTGTTCAATCCTCGTCTTGATAATTACGATAAACACAATACCACTGATATGTTCCATCCTATTTATACAAGATGCTTACCATGAAATGTATCATTTCTTTCATAAAATATTATGGATTCAATATTTGGATGAGGTTTACAAAGAATTTCAGATAATTATATCGTCAATGTATTTGTAATTATGGTAATAAAATAATGACTACTGATTTAGTGTGTACTACTGATGCCGACTAATATAAGTAGTATATATTATCAATAGAAAATGAAATTTGTGTAGGCAGAAAGTTAAGAATTCACTTAGTATTGTTTGTTTGGATCTTCCCATCGATGTGTTTAGGACTGCAACTGGTCAGTCTCTAATTGGCATATGTGCATACTGTGCGTATTGCCTCGATATACCTTAATTCACAAGCATGGTAAGCCATGCTAGCCACTATCCATCTCTGCTTAGAAAGTTAAGAAGATCAATGAAAAGAGAACTAGGTCAAAGAATGATTGATGTGTAAAACAAAAGAACAATGAAATGTGAGACGGTTGATTTATATTTTCTGTAATTTTGTGTTGAGATAACATTTGGTTGTTCCCTCCTGTGTTCTCATTCATTACATTGATATCAACAGTTTCCAACGAGGGAATTTATGAATGGTACTTAGTTACTGTATAATTCTATGGACATGAAAGTATTCTTCATACTGGAAACAGTCAGTTCTTTAATAAGTTAGCTTACTGTTGGTAGAATTTATTACCGATAATTCAATGGGGGCATCTTCATTTTTCGCTATGTCCACACATAAACGAAAAGAATTAGCTTCATGGTATTACTGGTATTGTTGTTACTGTTAGTGACTAGCAGTGGAATCCAGTTTGACGCGCGTTTCGTCCTATTCTGAACTCGTCAGCTGGATGTACCTGTATCTCAGAGTTGATGTTCACTCTGAGACTCGAACCCAGTACCTTTCGCTTCAAACGCCATCACGTTATCCATTCGGCCATTGTTAACTCATTTATTCAATATCTTGATAGTCCTTTTCCTTTTTTGGATACCCTTTTATTAAAAGTACTTGTCTTATATTGAATTATCACAATAAGAATGTGTGCAGATTGTAATAATTTTAATAGTTGAATTCATGAGTCACTCTAAGCTAGACCTGTTGGGGAGTTCCAGAAAAGTACTAAAAAAACAGCCAAAAAAGGTCTCTAAAACACTGAGAAACATCTTATCCAATCAACGTACAATAGACGTTTTGCCAGAAATATAGTATGGTTACCTATACTACTACTATGTTTAGTAGAGTTCCAGAAATTTCCGGTACTGGGTTCGAGTCCAAGAGTGAACATCAACCTAGATGAAGGTACATTCGACTGACGAGTCCCGAATAAGACGAAACGCGCGTCCTGGATCCCACTGCTAGCCACTATCCATCTTTGCTTATTCAAATTATTGTTTAAAAGTGTTTTATTGAATGCTTGTTGAATAGATGAATTTGTTTGAGAAGATCCAGAAAATTCTTTGAAAAAAACAGTCAATAATGGATATGAAAATACTGAGAAACATCTTATCCAAGCAACATTCAATAGAAGTTTTGCTAGAAACATCTAGAAAGGGAAAAGTTTAGTAGTCCGTTCCAAAAATTTACGGAAATCCAAGGTCATCGAAAATATTATGGACACCCTACAGTAAAGTGGTTTCTTCCATATTTTGCTCCATCTCTACCATGTTTAAGTTGCTGTGTAAATTTACCTTGGAGGTCACTCCAACAGTTAAGGGAACCAAATCTAGAGTTTATTTAGAAGACTTATCAAGACTACGATTAAAATCACAGAAGAACTGGATGAAGAGTTGGATAAGATTATGAACCGATCAAAGTTAACTATTAACATCGTTGATCACTGACTTAATATTCTAAAGGTTAATTATTCGTATATGAAAATTCCGTATGTAAGACTGTAAGATCTTTGGATACTCATACTCGACTGATATAATTGTCCAGTACTTTTAAGTTTTCAATGATTGTTTAATTTAAATAGACTCATAAATTTAATCAGTGTAGATTTTGATTTTGTATCTATGTTCACAAGTTTTTTCAATGTTTTTTGAAAATTTGTTCATCGGTTTGTTACCTTTTTTTGGTTGTTGTCGTTTGGTTTATATCTGTCGAAATATTCATAAATTAAAGTGATTTATTAAGGGGGGGGGAGTGTATGTGTATATGTGCATATGTGTGTGTATGTATGTACGTGTATGTGTATGTATGTGCGTATGTGTGTGTGATGATTATGATAATGAATGAACTCATTTTAATTGTTAATTTCTTTCTTTTTTTCGTTTAAAATTTTTTTCTTCTTTTTTTTTCTTTTCTTTTATCACCAAGGAAACAATTTATCAATTTACTGTAACATTACTTTATTGTATTGCAATTGGTGTAACATTTAATCAAATAGATTATTTACAATATTTTATTGGACCAATTACAGTAAGTGTTTATTTTAAAAGGGATTTTGTGGAGATTTTTGTAATTTTTAATAGACCACCATGGAAAACCTGAGAGCATTGGATGGCCGTTTCATCTTGTTGTGGAACTCCTCAGTAGAAGTGCGCATCCACGATCTCACCTCGTGAGATTCGAACCCAGGACCTATCAGTTTCACACGCGAGCGCTTAACCTCTAGACTACTGAACCGGCATCCAACGACGTTAATGTCTAACTTAATAATTCGATAATAATTACAAGGTTAAGTTCACTTAAATCTTCCTATTGATGTTTAGCATTGAGATTGGTTAGTCTCTTATTGACATGTGTGCATACTGTGCAGATTGCTTTAATAATGATTTAATTCACAGGCATTCTAAACATAGATAGTTACTAGTAGTAGAATCCTGGATGTACCTACATCTCAGAATTGATGTTCACCCTGGTACTCGAACCCAGTACCTTTCGCTTCAAACGTCATCACGTTATCCACTTAGCTACTGAATCCTGGTAGCCACTTGCTTGTGTAATGTGGTGAAGTGTAAATTCACTTAGTATTATTTGTTTGAATCTTCCTATTGATGTTTAGGACTGCAATTGATCATTCTCTGATTGAGATGCAGGTATATCCAGCTGATGAGTCCCAAATGGGACAAAACGTGGGTCCTGGATTTAACTGCTGGTCACTATTCATCTTTCCTTATAACTTCAGGGATATGAAAGGATTTTATTTTGCAGACTACAAGAAATCGGGAAGTATTAGACAACTATTTAATTCTACTATGAGACATATAAGTGAAATGCAGGACCTTCAGGTATCAAAGAGAGCGCATTACTTCTACACCATCTGTGAACGACATTCTTAACTTTTGTTTTAAAACACTACTGAATTTTCATTATTCATTTACAATAGTGATGACTGTCTTACTTCAAATGTAGCGTAACTCAATGCATCACACCTTTGCAATAGTACTTCAAATACAAACAATATTTGTGTAATCTCACTGTATTAAGCAACTATAGTTGTAACCCATAGAAGTACTACAGCTTTTATGTTAAAATTCATTCACAGACTTATGCTCTAGGATATTATTATCGGCATCATTTGAGTTTTTCGGTAATTTCTTATTACCTTTGATAATATTTGATGTAAAAGTCATGAACTTTCCATATCATTACAGATCTTCATACAATATCATCCCATTTATTGATTTATTTATTTGAACACATAAATATTGATACAAAAGGTCACCGAACACATATGCGACACACAAGTCACTTGATTTGTATGTAAGCTGTGATACCGCCTAAGTGCTAAAACCGAAGGAGGTGGTTCTCTTACGGTCGAAAACCTGATTCTCTGACTTGAAGGTCTAGTCCACAAGGTAGTGGAGCAACGTAAGGAGATGCAGTCACATGAAATACAGTGGCCAACATTAGGTTCATATGCCATTTCTTCACTCGGAATAATAGAGTCCATGTACACCGTTGGTTTAGAATTAGGGTTTCCCGACTCCCCCAATGTGAACTCTCCGTATCCATTAACTAAGTTGTAGTGCAGGGCATACGCTTTTCATCGTCTCAAATTCGTAAACAACACCGGTGCAATGAGAAGGCAATGAAGAGAACTTTTGTGGTAGTGGCTGTATACATGTGATCATGTGAGAGCATTTGAAGAGGCAGAGCTGACTCTTCCCTCCCTCGACCATACCAGAACATTTAGGAGCAATGTCATCCTAGCATCACATCAGACCATGTTTACAATTAAATTATTATGTGAAAGTTTCCATGTTAAAAATTAAAGTTAAGAAAAAAAACGTTCGAGAGTTCATGAAGCCATCGAGTGTAACAATCACTGATCAATGATTAATCAAACATTAATCATTAAATTTTGTGCTGAATTAATTTTTTATCAATTTTGTTTTCTGACATCTAAAATGACATTATTATTAGTAGTAGTATTTGCTTTATTCAATATTCTATTTTTGGTACAATATAGAAATCTTAGCACAATGTATTTCAACAAGTTACCGTTTATTACTTCTTCGTCGATTCTGATGATTGATATTGAGTAATAGGCAGTTAGAAGTTATCAGTCCAATGAATCAGCATCTAAATAATGTACATTCTTTTCGCTGCATATTGCCAACAACCACGATACCTCTGATTAAGTCTTTTTTAACTTTTACAGTGAAAGGTCGTATACTTTTCAGAAACGTACCTGAATAAGTTATGTAATCAGTAGCCATAATGATGTATTGAAACAAACAAAATTAGATAAGTTGTTGAAATATACAGATGATAAGAACAGATAGTTCAGATGTTTAAGCAAGCCGCCGCTCACTGTTAAATACCATGGATTACAATAACTAATTCATAATGCATCTACTAAGCTTCTTGAAGAAAATCAATATCTACTACTCAATTGTTTGACAATGAATTTCTAACAGATTTCTAGATCTTCAAACAGTAATGAAAAAATAGTATGAAGTGAGATTATTGGAAATATTTGACCTCTGGGAACTTCTGATGGAGAATGCTGGTTAGCGGCCTATGCTCCTCGACGAGGGGTAACAGGCATAAGTAAATATGTAAGGGAACTTGTGAAAGAATTCTAAATATGCAACACTCAATTCTTCAGTTTCGTAGACGTTTTAATGGTGCATACTGATTGTTCTCATACTTTTGTTAACTTTTAATTACCCGGATCAATCAGTTCTAGGGTAAAACTGACATACAACCTTGATCATTCATTTAACAAAACAACAATTTGCATAGTTGAAAGCTGAGGAGTCCCACAATAGGATGAAACGGCCGTCCAGTGCTTTCAGGCTTTCCACGGTGGTCTAGCTTCAGTTGACTGACGCTTTCAACTATGAAAATACTGAAATCTCCTCAAAAACCCTTCTGATACTTACTTACTTACTTACGCCTGTTACCCCTCGTCGAGGAGCATAGGCCGCTCACCAGCATTCTCCATCCAACTCTGTCCTGAGCCTTCCTTTCCAGTTCTTTCCAGTCAACATTCATCCTTTTCATATCGGCTTCTATTTCCCGGCGTAGTGTGTTCTTTGGCCTTCCTCTTTTCCGCTTCCCTTCCGGATTCCAAGTTAGGGATTGAGTCGTGATGCACATTGGTGATTTCCTTAATGTATGTCCGATCCACTTCCAACGTCTTTTCCTTATTTCCTCTTCAGCTGGAAGCTGGTTTGTCCTCTCCCATAAAACGCTGTTGCTGATAGTATCCGGCCAATGGATGTTGAGTATTTTGCGTAGACAACTGTTTATAAATACTTGTACCTTCCTGATGATGGCCGTAGTAGTTCTCCACGTTTCAGCTCCATACAGTAGGACTGTCTTGACGTTCGTATTAAAGATTGTGACCTTGAAATTGGTTGAGAGTTGTTTTGAGTTCCATATGTTCTGCAATTGTAGAAATGCTGCCCTTGCTCTGCCAATCCTTGCCTTTACATCTGCATCCGATCCTCCTTGTTTATCAACGATGCTCCCCAGATACTTGAATGTTTCCACCTCTTCCAGAGTTTCGCCATCAAGTGTGATTGGGTCGGTGTTCTGAGTGTTGTATTTGAGAATCTTGCTTTTTCCTTTGTGAATGTGGAGGCCTATCGATGCGGAGGCTGCTGCTACATTTGCTGTCTTCATCTGCATTTGGTCGTGTGTATGAGAGAGGAGGGCTAGGTCATCTGCGAAGTCCAAATCATCTAATTGATTCTGAGAAGTCCATTGTATTCCGTATTTCCCTTCGGATGTCGAATTCTTCATAATCCAGTCAATCACTAGAAGGAAGAGGAATGGGGAGAGTAGACAGCCTTGTCTGACTCCGGTCCTTACTGGAAATGCATCTGTCAGCTGTCCTCCATGCACCACTTTGCACTGTAATCCATCGTATGAGTTTTGGATAATGTTGACGATCTTCTGAGGAACTCCATAGTGTCGAAGAAGTTTCCACAATGTTCTCCTATCCACGCTGTCAAACGCCTTCTCATAGTCGATGAAGTTGACGTATAGTGATGAGTTCCACTCAACTGATTGTTCAACGATGATCCGTAGTGTCGCAATCTGGTCTGTGCACGACCGATCCTTACGGAATCCAGCCTGATGATCCCTAAGTTCGGCGTCTACTGCGTCTTTCATCCGATTCAGCAGCACTCTGTTGAAAACTTTTCCTGGTACTGATAACAAACTGATACCTCTGTAGTTCTCACATTTGCTCAGATCTCCTTTCTTTGGTATCTTGATGAGATATCCTTCTTTCCAGTCCGTTGGCACTTGTTCCTCTTCCCAAATCTTTTTGAATAGAAGGTGAAGCATGTTTGCAGTTATTTCAATGTCTGACTTCAGTGCTTCTGCTGGTATATTGTCAGGTCCTGCCGCCTTCCCACTTTTGATTTGTCTGATGGCCATCTTGACTTCTTCGATCGTTGGTGGAGTGACATCTATTGGAAGGTCAGCGTGGGCTGCTTCGATGTTCGGTGGATTCGATGGGGTTGGTCTATTCAGCAGTTCCTCAAAGTATTCTGCCCATCTTTTCCTCTGTTCCTGAATCTCCGTGATTGTCTTTCCTTCTTTGTCTTTGACTGGTCTCTCTGGTTTGCTATATCTCCCTGCCAATTTCTTCGTTGTATCATATAGTTGTTTCATATTCCCTTCTCTTGCAGCTTTTTCCGCCGCCGTTGCTAGTTCTCCCATGTATTTCTGCTTGTCGGCTTTAATGCTTTTCTTCACTTCTCTGTTTGCTTCTGCGTAGTCTGCTTGTGCTTTGACTTTCTCTGCTCGTGTTCGGCTGTTGTTAATTGCAAGTTTCTTGTTCTTCCTTTCTTGAAGTTTGTCCAGGGTCCCCATAGAGATCCATTCCTTGTGATGGTGCTTCTTAGGACCAAGAACCTCCTGACACGTTGAAGTTAGTGCTTCTTTTATCCCTTTCCAGTTGTCCTCCAAAGTAGTTTCTTGTTCTTTCAGTAGATCCTGTAGAGCTTGGAACCTGTTGTTGAGAGTTATCTTGAATTCATGGAGCTTGTCAGTATCTCGAAGGAAGGCTGTATTAAACCTTTGTAGTGCTGTTTGTCCAGTTGTCCAGTCTTTCTTTAGCTTCAGTCTCATCTTGGCCACAACCAGGTGGTGATCTGAAGTTATGTCAGCTCCTCTCCGGGTTCTCACATCTTCCATTGATCTTCGGAATTTTTTGCTGATACAGATGTGATCAATCTGGTTCTCTGTGGTGTGGTCCGGTGAGATCCATGTAGCTGTGTGTATGCGTTTGTGTGGGAATATTGTGCCGCCTATAACCAATTTGTTGAAAGCACATAGGTTTGCAAGTCTCTCCCCATTTTCATTTCTCTCTCCTAGTCCATGTCGTCCAATTACATCTTCATATCCTGTGTTGTCCACTCCTACTTTAGCATTTAGATCTCCCATCAGGATGGTGAGGTCCTTTCGTGAGGACTTCTCCATAATTGATTGCAGCCTTTCATAGAACTGATCTTTATCATCGTCGTTGCTATCATTGGTGGGTGCATAACATTGGATAACATTCATTGTGATCCCTTGCTTCTTTGTTCTGAATGATGATTTGATTATCCTGGGTCCATGAGATTCCCACCCCACAAGTGCATTTCGTGCTTCTCTGGACAGCATTAGAGCAACTCCCTGAGTGTGTGGCGCATTTTCCCCTTCGTGACCGGAGTACAGAAGCATCTCTCCTGTACCTAGCCTTTGTTGTCCAGTTTGTGTCCAATGGGTTTCGCTGATTCCGAGTACTGCCAAGTTGTATCTCCTCATTTCCATTGCTATTTGGCTGGTCTTTCCTGTTTCCCACATTGTCCGGACGTTCCATGTACCTATAAAGAGTGTTGCTCTGGTTGTTAGAAGGTGCATCGGTCTCGTGACTTCCGAAGAATTTCGGCTTTCATCATGAGACGTCATTATTCCTTCAACTCCCAGGGCAGAGTTTAAATGGTTTGGATTATTTTTTCTGGTTAGCGTTTTTTTAGCAAGTTAGCTTTTCTACGGGATGGGGTCGCTAACCCCATGCCCAACCCTCCTCCTTTACCCGGGCTTGGGACCGGCAGTAACTCTAGAAGAGCTACAGGCGGAGTTCAAAAACCCTTCTGATAGTAATAATAATAATCATATGCTCACTTGTGACTGACTTCGAGAGGTAAATCCTGGAATTCTAGTGAGAAGCAGTGACTAGTGCAGTTCAAACCACATCTGTTGTGAGATATTAACTCACTGAAGACAATTGGTGAACGGTTGCTCAACTTTGTGGATCAGTTGAAGTTAGACAATAACACCATGGATACCGGCCGAATCAGTGGTCTATCGGTTAAGTGCTCTGGCGTGAGACTGGTAGGTCCTGAGTTCTAATCCCGCGAGTGCGGGGTCGTAGATGCGCACTGCTGAGGAGTCCTACAATAGAACGAAACGGTCTTAAAGCAGTTCTTCCAGGTTTTCGATGGTGGTCTAGCTTCAATTGACTCATGATCTCAACTCTATAAAAAAAGCGAACAACAATTTCATTCTTATAGTTTTCTTATTGTTTATTTATATAGATATTCACATCAGCAAATTTTGGTGCCTTTACATTTGGTAGTATGGTTGCATTAACTGAATTAATATGTAAACATCCAGATATCAATACTACTGATAATCCTACTACTAATAATAATACTATAAACACACCAGTTAATACAAATTTGAATTCAACTCCCATTCAACCAGTTAATCAAGTGAATCCAAATAAATAATAAAGAAGTCGATTATGTATATACTTTATATGATTCTTTAGTTATCTTATCTACCTTTAAATACTTTATATAATGTATATTGGTGAATGATCTATCTACCTACTACCTATCTATCTATCTATCTAATCTGTCTATCTATCCACCTGCCTATCTATCTACCTATCTATCTATCTATATCTATCTATCTAATCTAATCTACTCTACCTATCTATCTATTTACCTATCTATCTACATCTATCTATCTATCTATATTTATCTATCTATCTACCTATCTATCTATCTACGTATCTATCTACCACACCTCCATTTATGTACCTACCTATCTATCTATCTACTTATCTATCTATCCACCTATCTATCTATCTACCTGCCTATCTACCTATCTATCTATATGTATTATGTAATTGGTTATAATAATGAATTATTCAAACAATTCCATCATTCAATTCATTTTCCTTAAATTCCTTAAATTAATTTTATTATATTACTGAACTTTTTTCTCTTATGACCATTGATTTTACTCTTGAAGTATTTCCAAGAGGTTAGAATTTTTTTTATTTGAAAAAATAAACAATTAATTTACTACTTATCTTGTGTTTAAAGAGTTGAACTGATGGGTCGTTTAAAGCTAGATCATCATGGAAAATCTGGAAGTATGAGAAGACTGTTTCGTTTTAGGATGTGACTCGTCAGTAGTGGATATCCACGATCCTGCTTGCAGGATTCGAATCCAGGACTTTCGGTCTGATGCGCGAACGTTTAACGTCTAGATCACTCAACCGGCATACAACGATGTTAGTGTCTAAATTCAACCAATCCAAAAAAGTGCACCATCATCCATCATTATCTTCAGTGAGCCATTATCTTACAACAGACACGGTTGAACTCCACTGGTCACTGCTTCTCACGAGAACTCCAGGAAATAACTCACAAAGTCAGTCATTAATAAGCACATGATTATTATCAGGAGTGGGTTTCGTCTACATTTTAGTAACTTTATAGTTGAATTTATGAATCGGTTTAAGCTAGACCATCTTGGAAAATGGCCGTCCAGTACTTCCAGGTTTTCCATGGCAACTGTCACTGCTTCTATTTCACCACATTTTGTCATGATAATTTCATCTCGTTTTATTTATTTATTTAAACACATAAATATTGTTACAAGAAGGCATCAGATACATATGCGCCACACAAATCTCATTCGATTTGTGTTAGGGCTGTGATACTAACCAGGTGCCCAAACCGAAGCAGGTGGTTTTCTTACGGAACCACACCAGAAGCCGGTGACCAAAGATTGGTTCACACGCCATTTTTTCCCTTAGGATACCGGAGTCGATGTACACCAGTGGCTTGGAGTTGGGGTTTTCTAACTCCCTTAGGTGGACTACCCGTGTCCACCAACCCTCTTAAAGCGCCGGACATGCGCTTCTCGTCCTCTCAATTTCGTAAGCAACAGTAATGCCACGATAAGGCAGTGAGTAGTACTTTCCTGACAGAGGCTATATACACGTGGCCATGTGAGAGCATTTTGAAAGGGAGAGCGGACTCTACCCACTCTCTGCCGTATCAGGGCATTTGGGGGCTTTCATCTCGTTGTGGTGATTTAGTGTAGTAATTTGATCAAATGAACATAAGAGTCAGGTTCTGTATTGATTATGATTGATGGACAACTTGAATAGTAAAAACACTGTTTTATATTGATTAAATACAGCTTATATTATATTCGGTCCTTGAAATTTTTAGTTCATGACTGATTGACAATTAAGAATAACAAGAAAGTTTTCAAACTCTTTCCCTGAATGGTTCCATATGCTTACTACTATGTTAAGTAAGCAATGATAATGTTTTAAACGACTGAAAAAGATTTCACCTAAGTTCGATGCTCTTAATAGTGCTGAGTTCTCTGGGCCAAATGGTTTAATTGCTCAGCTTTCACTGGCTTTTTGGAAATTCGTGACAAAGGGCTTCAAAATCTTTATAATTATTGTTTTGAGATATTCCTCAAATATGGTATATTGTTCCATTTTTTGATTTCTCAGGCTGATTATTTAACGGTATTTGGATTAATTAGATATAGCTTCTTCAGCTAATCCTGATATAGGAGGATACTATTAGAGTTCCTTTGATCTGTCTAAAAAGTGTGATATCGTGTGAGTGCCCAATTGTTATATCGATTGAGTGCGTGCGTGCCTTGTTTATATATGATTGATAAAATCGCCAATCAGAGAGCAGCGAATTATCGATTGGGACTGTGACACACGGAAACCGTACGAGCAGTCTAGAATACGTATCGGCTCTGCTATCTGCCTAGTCCAGTCGGTTAAGTCCAGAACACCAATAACTGCCTCTACAATATGAATCCTTATTCACAAACATACTGGGTTTGTATACCAAACAAACTGACCACATCGTAACATAAAATAGAAAATAATATTTGTATAAGATTTGGCCAAATGTGGCTGTAAATAGGGGGACAGTAATTAATGGAGTAAGGATAACTCAGGAATAGTAAATCGTATAATCATAGTCTATAGGTCAAAATAAAGCGTATAATAAAAGGAACATGAATATGGATACTTTAGTTACTTAACAATTATACAATAAGAATTATACATATTACATTGGTCCATAAATAGTTCTCAAAGTTACCATTCGTAATTCTCCATGGGATACAACAAATGTAATTTCTAAGCCGGAGACATGTTGTCAGACATAGATCGGTGACTTCTATCACTTCAACATATACAGAGATTGAAGATGTCGTTCACAATGTCAATGAAAGCTCCACAATTAGACCATTTGAGTCAGAGAACTCACCACTATCTAAGATTGATGATTTTGTTTAAAACTACAATGAAACTTTTGAATTTGTATTATCCATTTTTTGAGTAACTAATACATTTTTAAAAGTTATGATAAGTCTTCTAATTAATAGTTAGACTTAGTTGCCTAGGCTTTTCCTTCTAGTAACCTTCAGGCTAAATCTACACAGAAACTTGAACACGAGAGAAATGGAACGAAATATGGATGAAAGCACTTTACTGTAGGGTGTTCATAACATTTAAGATGATCTTGGATTTCCGGAAATTTCTGGAACGCACTACTAAACATAGTAGTATAGGTTATCATCCAATCAGAAACGTGACGTGTGACTTTTCACTTTTTAGATGTTTCTAGCAAAACTTCTATTAAATGTTGCTTGAATAAGGTGTTTCTCAGTATTTTCATATCCATTATTGGCTGTTTCTTTCGAAGAATTTTCTGGATCTTCTCAAACAAATTCAACTATTCAACAAGCATTTAATAAAACACTTCTAAACGATAATTTGAATCAGAAAAGATGGATAGTGGCTAGCAGTGGGATCCAGGACGCGCGTTTCGTCTTATTCGGGACTCGTCAACCGGATGTACCTGCATCTGAGTTGATTTCACTCTTGGACTCGAACCCAATGCCGTTCAGTTCAAACGTCATCACGTTATCCACTTAGCTACTGAGTCCTGATAGTCACTTGCTTGTGCGATGGGGTGAAGTTTAAATTCACTTAGTATTGTTTGTTTGAACATCAACGCTTAGATTCAGGTACATCCAGCTGACGAGTCCAAATAGAACGAAATGCGCGTCAAACTGTATTCCAATGCTAGTCATTATCCATCTTTGCTTATAATGCTTATGAATTAAGGCTATATCGAGGCAATACGCACATATGCCAATAAGAGAGTGACTGATCAATTGCAGTCCTAAACATCAATGGGAACATTCAAAGAAGCACTCCTAAGTGAATTTGGTAATTTGAATAAAAGTAAACGAAATTCAAATAAGACTATTATGTTCAACAACAAAGCTTGATTTTATTCAGTCATGTCATAAACAAACAAACAAAAACAAAAAATATTTCGAATTCTATAACAACGAAAGTAAAAAATCAACGGATTAGTTTAGTTAAACAAAATATTTAGTACAGTTAGATATTTTTATATAGTTGAGATCATGAGTCAATTGAAGCTAGATCACCATGGAAAACTTGGAAGCACTGGACGTTCGTTTCGTCCTATTGTAGGACTCCTCAGAAGTGCACGTCCACGATCCCGACTCTCGAGATTCGAACCCAGGACCTATCAGTTTCGCGCGTAAGCGCTTAACCACGAGATCACTGAGCCGACCGGCATCCAACGGTATTAATGTCTAACTTCAATCAATCCAAGAAACTGAGCAACCGTCCACCATTGTCTTCAGTGAGTAGATATCTCACAAGAGACCTGTTTGAACCCCACTGGTTACTGCTTCTCACTAGAACTCCAGGAAACACCTCATAGAGCCAGTCACTAGTGAGTATATGTTCATTATTAGGAGGGGGTTTGTGGAGACAATGGTGAATGGTTGCTCAATTTCTTGGATTGATTGAAGTGAGACAATAATACCGTTTGATGCCTGCCGGCTAAGTGGTCTGATGGTTAAGCGCTCGCGCGCGAGACTGATAGGTCCTGGGTTGGAATTTCGCGAGTCCAGATCGTGGATGCGCACTGCTGAGGAGTTCCACAATAGGATGAAACGGCCGTCCAGTGCTTGCAAGTTTTCCATGGTTGTCTAGCTTCAATTGACTTATGATTTCAACTATATACTATTAGATATTCTCAAGATATTGTTTCATTTGAATGTATGAATACATGAAATCACTTTCTTTTTATTGTATATTGTGATTTAAAATGAACAAGCTACTAATTAGTAGATTTGGATTAACTACTTATAATGATTGAAGAATATATGGAACTTGAAACAATTATCTGCCAATCAATATCAAAGTTAGAATCTTCAGTGTGAACGTCATGACAGTTCTACTGTATGGAGCTGAAACGTGGGGAACTACCATAACCATCATCAAAACTGTACAAGTACTTATAATCAATTGTCTTCTCAAGGTACTAAATATCTGTTGGCCGAATAACATCAAAAACAGCCTACTGTATGAGAGAACAAAGCAGCTCCCGTCTGAACAGAAAAT